ATGGTTTATATCATTTCTTTTTCCTCTTCATAAATATCAATTACACATCTTTTACATAATTATTCCCCATGCTGATCAACTTGGAATTTTTTTATGTGTTCATCTTTCTAATTAAGCATATTTTATATTGTTGTCAAATTTTTTATCTGATCTACAAAAACAGAAGTTATTTTTTACTTTAGCGTATGTATTAAATATTAATATAAATCTTTATATATTTTTCCCGATAGTTTCAGATCTTTGAAAGCTTTATTAAACTGTGTACAAATGATAGTTCTTTATGGATATAACTTTAATATAGTACTATTTGGTGATATACTTATTCTAAATCCATCTAATGAAAACTAAATTGACCGCTACCAAACATGTTATGCACCCGAGCTGTTGCCGCTGTCATCAGCTTCATTAAAATCAGAATGTGTCAAAATTATATAATATTAACTCTTTTTTTAAAGAAGAAGTTTGAAGGACTAATATGCTCGATTGTAAATCCTAGAAGGGTTAATTTCTTAAAAAATATTACCACAACCATTATTAAACAAATAAATAACAAAAATGTGTAGTTATAAGTTTTGAAAAGGCAATAAGTTACAAATGAAATTTTAATGCATAAAAATAGGCATTGGCCAATTTCTTTTTTTATAGATAAAGATAGTTGAAAAGATGAAATTCATTTGGATGTTGATGGATAGTGTACCCGGGGTGTAGCTTATCCGAAGAGTTATTGCGGAGAATAACTAGAGACAAGTCAGAGCAAACAAGTAAGAGAGAGAGAGAGTCAGATATATTAATGAATTGTGATCTGGGATCCTTTACAAAAGGTATAAGGGCTGCTATTTATAGCAGCCATAAATGCGATGAGAGTACACGTGTCAACAATCTGACGGTCGAGGGGTCACCTCAATCGGGGGTGGCACCGGCATTCGCATGTGCATCGCATTAAATGCGGTGGTTAATTGTTGGATGTGACGCTGCATTGAATGCGGTGGTTGCTTGTCTCCAAATGGAATCTTCAATGATCGCGCTGTAGCGGAAGGCTCCCCTGTGGACGAGGGCTCTATGTAGCCGAAGGCTACCCTTATGCCGAGGGCGTGTATGAGCCGAAGGCTCCTGATTTTCGCCGTCTTCTCCCAGTAGCTTTGTATGCCTAAAATCAGCTGTTTCCTGGAGTTTGGAGCCTTCGGCCATGGTGCCGAAGGCATCCCCAGGCGCACCGTGGGTTCCTTTGAGCTTGGGCCGCGGTGCTTTGGGCCTCATGCGCTTCTTGGGCCTGTTGGGCCTGTGTTGGAGTAGTAGGAGTCAATGGGCCGGGGGTCCCTGGGCCATATACTCCATCACATGCAATTAAGAGTTATAAAAAATTGGCTCTTTTAATTGGAAAATATAGACCGAGAATATGTTTAGATATTTAGTTAAAAAATAAAATATACTCAATAAGTAAGAATATGCATTTATCATCCATTGTTATAATCGACTGAATACGTGACTTTTCGTTAGTTATAATAACTCATACATATGTCAATACACACACATATGTAGTAAAATTAATACCCCAATTTATCCCGTGCACGGCACGGGTAGAGATACTATCTAGTACTATATTTCAACCCGTGTCATGCACGGGATAAAAGGACGTTTAATTTTCTATTTTGTTCTAGTCCCTCTATCTCAAAAAGATTTGTCAAATTTATTTTTCTTGATCAATTACAGTCGACTATGAATAATGATATCTTACTATTTAATTATTTTGAATATAAAAATTTATATTAAAATGTTCCTTATTAAAAATATTTACATATATAAAAGCATAAAGTTTATAAAATATATTCAAATATAGTCGTTAAAATCATTATCCAAAGTTAATATGGGAAACCTTTTTGGGACAGAGGTAATGTTATCTATATGTTCGTGTCAGTTATAATTATCGACAATTAAGTGTGAATTTAATTGATTATAACAATAGATGATTATACATGTTTATCGAGTGAATCTTATTTTGAATGGTCCAAACACACTATTGCTCTATATATAACATTTGGATGGAAAAAGTCAAAAGGTCTTTGGTAATTTTCTATTCCATCCAAATGAAACCACCTTTTTAATCACCTTTATCTAAACATAAATTGATTTCAGCTATCATTATTTTGTAATAACAATTATTACACATATAATCAACTATTGAAATAAATTTCATTTTATATGTCTCAAACACAATCTAATTAAATTACACGGCATAGGTAAAGAGAATTTTCAGGACACGACACGGGTTATTAGCTCATGAAAATTAATAGAATTAATTTTTATTATTCATATATATGCAACATCGGTGTTATATAGTAGTAAAAGATAATAAAAACTTTGGTGTCATATGAAAAAAAAAATTATTTAATATTATTTTAAAGTGTTAAATTATTTTTTTTATTTTTATATATTCAATATTATTGTCATATGAAAGACAATGTTGCATAAACAAAGTACCTATTCAAGTGAACTCGTGACGGTAAGTCCTCAACTGTTTAGTTGGTGGCACTGATCTTCATTTTCCATTTGTGGGTGACTTGAAGAAGTATGGAAGATGTTTTTACCGTGGACGTGAAGGGTGAATATGAAGGGTAGTACATTAACAATAAAGGGTATAATAGGAAAGTCAAAAGCAAAATAATTTTCATCTTAAAATATGTGAAGTCAAACACTCAAACCATTAATTAACTTAAATAAGAACCGGAGGGAGTAGATAAAAAAAAAAGTAGATCATTTAAAAAAAATACTCCGGTATTACAGAGTAATTGAATGGTTCACATATAGCTTAGATAAATGTAATTTAAATGGAAATAATAGAATTATAGATTTGATATATGTTGGTCCCGTTTAAAATGGTAACCAGTCTAGAGGGGGGGGGTGAATAGACTGGTTGGTTTTTCAAATTTTCTCTAAGTCAAAAGTGACTTATCAGAGAAGGTCTGATTCTGATGACAGAGATAGGCTGGTTCTGATATTAGAACTGGCCTTGGCAGCGGATTCTGATCTGTCCGGGTAGCCTCAGAAACACTAAGGCAAATGCCTTTCTGATAACTCTTAAAACAAGATCTGCTGAACACAGATTCCAAGTCTTAGAGTTAATCAGTTAATATCCTAAGTGCAGAAACGTAAATTGCAGTAAAGTAAATGACACCGGATATTTTATAGTGGTTCAAGGAACAACTTGTTCCTCTAGTCCACTGTTCCACTAGCTTTGAAGTAGATCAGTTACAAAGCTAATTCCTAGCACTTAAGAAGCACTCCTCGTCTTCTTCAAGCCTAGATGCCACCCAGGATGCAATTCCACGTCCTGATGGCTGGTCCTTTCACTCAGTTTCCCGGAAGTATCACCACTTCACTACTGCAGTTACTTGGACGCCCTTCTTTTCAGAAGATCCTTTGAAAAACAGAGTTTTTCCTCCAACTTGCTTCGTCACAAATGATGTTTGATGAAGATCTTGAAGAGTTGAAGAGCAGGATGAACTTTGCTCTTGTTGGGGATGAGAGATTGTGAGATTGAATCTTCCCAACGTAAGCTTTTTCTTGTTTTTGTGTTGTGGAGTTTGAATCTCAAGAGAGCTTGAAAGTTTTATGAGCACAAGTTGTAGCAAAGTTGTATCCCTGTTCTTCGGTGAGTAGCTTATATACTGGGGTTGTCTGCCCGTTGGAGGAGGAGACAACTGCATTAAATGCGCGTACAGTTGACTTGACCGCCGTTTTGGAAGGTTTCTATTTTTAAAATATATCTTCCCGGATTCCTTGGTCAATCATTTGCAATCAATCCTTCAGCGTATCAGGCTCATTTAATGTGCATTAAATGCTTTCCTTTCATGCACAGTCTTCTAGCCGTTGGATGTTTTTACCCGTTGAACTCATAGCTGTTGGATGTTGCTTGAAATCTTCTAAGTGTTAGTCGAGTTCTGATCAGGCTCTTCTGATGTGTTGGATTCTGATTGCCTTCTGATGAGTTGAGTTCTGATGGCTTTCTGATCCCGGATAGAGCTCTAACTCTGACTCTGATATGTCCGCTGATGAGTACCTTTGATTTGTAGTTCTCATCGGTTATCAGATGTCCAAGTTTCTCAGCAACTTTCATGGTGCAACTCTGATGAACTTCTGCTAAGAGAACTCTGATGGAGCAGTTCTCATAGAGCAAGTCTGAAGGAGCAGTTCTCATAGAGCAACTCTGATCGTCGACTACACTAATACTTACAATTAAAAATTCTAATATATAAAATCTAATTGGGGGTACTCTAATCTTCTAATCCTATAGCATCATCAAAATCTAATTACATTTATTCCTTACAATATATATAATATAAAATAAACTCTGCGTACATAATGGGTGATACACTTAGAATTTGGAAATATAATCAATATTATGTATCAAAGCTTACTCATTTCAAATTTAGATGATGTTGATTTTATAGAAGTAATAACGTTTTATTCATATTGAGTAACGTGAGTCATAATATATTTGATGAGAAGATATTTTAATGTTCTAAATCCTAAAACTTTCAGAGAAGGTCATTTGACCACCCTGACCCTACCTGACTTCACCCTTAGTCATAAACGTTTTTTGTTGGAAAGTTAGTTTTAATAAGAGTCCATTTGACTTTGCAACTCATTTTTTTTAGTGATATTAATATTAATTTTGAACTATCTTTTCGAAATCATTAATAATGTATAACACCCCATTTCAATTTAACGTCATTTGACTTTAATGCATAAAAGATTTTAAAAGTACACTATAAAGTCTAATATTGCTCAAAAAATAGGAGGCATGTCAAATTACATTTATTTTGCCTAATTCACATTGCATTTTGAAGAAAAAGCAAATAAAATAATACCCTAATATGTTTCCCATAATTCCCGTTGCATTGTCTATTCCAACAAAACCAAATTCCTTCATTCAATCTTCATCATCCATAGGATATATTCTAGTTCAAGAATAATCATCATCGTTTCTCCCCCATCAACAAGCTAAGGCCACCTTACTATACCTTTGGATCACCCGCATTTTGGTTTGCCGTTCTTCGAGTTTTAAGTGGCGTGGCTCCGTCGCGATGGGGAGGACCCCGCCGGACTCCTTGCCGGGGTCCGAACTTGAAATTAATGTCCAGCCCCGTCGCCATCACCACCACAACCACCCGCCTCCCCTCCCATCGCCGCCGAGGCCTTACCGGCCGTTCAAGAAATGGTTTCCGTGGCTCGTTCCTCTCATTATCCTTGCCAATATTGGTCTCTTTGCATATGTAATGTACGTCAATGACTGCCCTACAAATTCTGAGAAATGCTTCGGATCGGATTTCCTTGGCCGGTTTGCGTTCCAAAGCCTCCATGAAAATCCCCTGCTTGGGCCCTCTGCTGATACGTGAGTCTTCATCCTTTTTATTCTTTTTCTTGCAATATGTTTACTAATCAAACTTGTACATGTTCTCAATTTCTCATGTCCAAAGTTTTATATAAACTATTTAAAAACTCTACAAAGATATTGTTTTCTATTATATCTTGTGCTTCACATTATATATTTATATACACTATGTTCCCCTGATTCCTTACAACATATAGACCATAATAATAGGTTCATGTTGCATTCTATATTCTACGAGCCCCTTTAGTAATACTCAAAATTGGTATTGGCTGATTCTGCATAAATTTATGAAGTTCTAGTTGAAGTGGCTGAATTGGTTGATTCTGTTGATTTATGAAAAATTTATATTTAAAATATAATATAATAATAAAATAAAGAAAAAATTATATGAAAAATAGCTAAAATGATCATTTATAGTAACTTCAGTGAATACAACCAGAAAAGTAACTTCAACTTTACTTTTTTATTATTATTACACAACCTAGAGCGCGAAATCAAAAGTTACGTGTTTGGTGAGAAAATTGGCAGATAAGCCTAATAAGCCGAAAAACATATATAGTCATCAAACGGGCTCACATGTGTTATTCAACATATCAAATTCATGTGAAAATAAGGTGAACAAGTAAGATTGTTTTGACAAGAACTTCAAAATAGTATCATTGTGAATCAATTAAATGTACTTCCGGTATCAATTCACTTCATTCAATAACTGAGGTACCAAAGTACTCGTCAATACCAATAGTTATGATAATATTTATACTATTGTTCTCTTATTGACATTTAACACTCAGCTTATGTTATTTTATTTAGGCTGCGAAAACTAGGAGCTTTAGAAGTGGAGAAGGTGGTGAAAGATCATCAAGTATGGAGGTTGTTCTCTTGTATGTGGTTACACGCTGGTGTGTTCCATGTTGCCGCCAACATGGTTAGCCTTCTATGCGTTGGCATCAGACTTGAACAAGAATTTGGGTTTGGTATGATAAACCTTAATTACAACCCTTTCATTTTCACCTTAAAAATGATGTGAACTTATGACTTATCTATACATATGATGTACTTCGTATGTGATAGATAGGGACAGATCTCGGAATCTGGATTGGAAAGTAATTATACTCGACTTAAACATCACTGATGTGCGTTAAATAAGAAAAATGAAAAAAGCAAAATTAATGTTGCTCTGGGCTTCAACCCACCCAAGAGAGGATCTACGAATACGCTATGGTAGGCTGAAGCTCAGGGCAACTTATTTTTTTTTTCAATTGTTTAGTTAATTTTTATTTTTCATTTTATCTCACCTCGCTAATGTTTAAGTCTAGTATAATTACTCTTCAACTTAGGCATCCCAGATTCCTGAATCCTCCCGTGAACCCATCACAGCCCTAACGTAGATCTGATAGAAAATATGTACAATTATTTGACCATGCATGCATGCCTGTTGCAGTGAAGATCGGTTTGCTTTATATTCTCTCGGGAGTGGGAGGAAGCTTGGCATCTGCCCTATTTGTGAGGATGACGATCTCTGTTGGCGCCTCTGGAGCTCTATTTGGTTTGCTTGGAGCTATGTTGTCTGAATTGCTCACAAATTGGACCATATATGAAAATAAGGTACTATATATATAAATTATGAAGTATATCTGTGTGCAGTGGCGTAATTACAGTGTAAATTGGAGTAACTAAATAGGTACAAATATAATCAAAAAAAATTTACACAAAAACATTGTACATATATATATATTTAAATAATCAAATTAGGGTGGGTCGAGGCCAAGCTACGTCCCTGTTTGAGTGTCTATATTTCTCTTGATCTATCTATGAGTATTATCACCCAAACATCTTATAGTGCAACACAAAACAACATAAAAGCAACTTGAGACCAATGTATTATACATATACCATTATTAATAGGACTATATAATCAAATTTGAATAGGATGAAAAAAGGGAACCCTGGTGCATATTGACGTCCTCGTAAGGTGAGTTCTGGGGAAGGATACTACCACAAGGGTGTATAATAAGTAAGCTTTCCTTTGTCGTTTTGATACAAGATCTCTCTCAAGATTTGAACGTGTGACTTCTCATCACACAACAACAACATAACGGTGTGCTAAGGCTCGATCCCCATCTTAAATAGGATGAAATTTAGTTAAAAAATTAAAGAATAAAAAAGTTTACAGTGAGCGTGTAATTAAGGATAAATTTGTTCATTTAAACTCTAACTTATATTTGTGCCCATATCAAATGCACTTATATGTAAATTATGTCATGTAATGAATAAGTTTGTCTACTATAATTCACGAGAATGTATAAGTTTCACCTAATAGTCATGTGTCGGCGGTCCCACATTTAGTAACATTAAGGTGGTTTAGTACAGTACATTCCAAAATATAATGCTCATATGAGCAAAAATACTCCCTTTGTCCCACTATTATGGTCTCGTTGCGGTTTACGATGCTTGACCGACGATAAAACAAACAAATCTCAGTCCGCACTCAAATTATATTTAGAAAAAAAATTACATATTCAGAAACTACATTAAAAGCTTTACAAAGTCGCAAAAACCAGAATCAAATTTGATAATTTTTTTAATATAAAGCAAAAGAGATCAAGAGTGATTTGTGTTGACCAAGTGAATGAGAATTGGGACAATAGTGGGACGGAGGGAGTATTAGTTATGTGACATGATTTGTAAGAATATAAACTTGCACAACTAATAATAGCCACAAACAAAGGTTAGAGGACCAAATCAGCAAATCTCCACCACATGAATAATAAATACAAAAAGGAAAACCCTTTTACGAAAGGAGTTGGTATGTGTGTGTAAAACTATGTCACAAGTGTGGCAAAATCTTACATGTTTTTTTGCATGTATCTTCAGTTGGCAACACTATTGACTCTCATTCTCATCATTCTGATAAATCTAGCTGTTGGAGTTCTCCCCCATGTAGATAACTTTGCTCATCTCGGGGGATTTGTGACTGGTTTTTTACTCGGATTTATCCTTCTCATTCGCCCTCAGTTTGGATATGTTAAACAAAGAAATGCTCCACCTGGTTACTTTTTGCCATCAAGAAAAGCCAAACACAAGGTTTATCAGTGTGTTCTCCTCATATTTGCATTGATAATCCTCATACTAGGGTAACTTATAACTCCTAACCGATCTTTCAATTATTTATACTCGAGAAAATTTCACAAATAGGACTAAAATATGGATAAAGTTTTTAAATATGACTACCAATATTTTATTCCAAACTAGGACTCAACGACTCCTATGTTGGAAAGTTTTAATTAAATTAATCTTTTAATAGGACTAAATAAATGAGATCCTATTTGGAAAATAAAATATACTTAGTCATATTTTTGAAGTTTGTGTATGTTTTGGTCCTACATTGAGCAATTTCTATTTATTTATTACTCAGTAATTAGTTTGTTCTAAAGAATTATATCATTCCATTTGTCATCAGGCTGACTATTGGTATGGTAATGCTACTCCAAGGCGTGGATGGTAATGATCATTGTTCTTGGTGTCATTATTTGAGTTGTTTTCCAACTCCTATATGGACTTGTGATGCACGTTGCTCGGTAAGCAACATGTTACTTTCAACTACTCTCCCGTAATTAAATCCACAATTTGAATTCTATGGTTTTCACTTTTTAAAGGTAACATTTGTAAGAAATTATAACATTTATAATTTCTTATAACATTTATGAGAAATTATTTATTGACATTTTAATAAAAATATAAGAACTTTCAATACAATGCCCAAAAGATATGTTAACCATCAATCGAGGACCAAAAAGGTAACAAATTAGTTTACATTAAGGCCCGAATGATTATAAATTATCAATGAATGATATAAAAATAGATATAAATTTCTTGAAATTTTTTATTTAGTTTGTACTAATTTTCTATCAATTTTTCATTCCAAAAGTCTAATAAATTTTAAAGGATTAAATATTATTGAAATTCAATAAAATAAACAAAACAACATTCATGATATTATAAGTCTTAGATTGGTGGTTTTATGCAATTTTATCAACCGAGGACTTGAAAGATAGGTGTTCTACCGATAAGGGGTCTAAAATATGAAATGTATCGATACAGGTTCCATATGATGGAAAACTATCAATTTAAGCCCTAAAGTACATTGAATTCTAATAATTTTTATTTTGAAATTTTAAATATTATTTATTTTTATTAACCAATAAACTTTTGTGAAGAAAAAAACTTCAAAGACTAGCAATGGAATTAATAAAAATTAAATACATTAAAATCTATGATATTTTAGGTCTTTGATTGATAGTTTTAAATCATCCGGGTCCTATATGGATACACTTTATATTTTAGGTCTCTTAAAGGTCCGAAATTGATAAAGTTCCTAGTTTTAATTATTTGGATCCTACATAGTCTACATTACATTTTAATCATTCAAGGTCATGGATGGAAGAAATCCATTTTTGTTAAACTAAAGTAGTTGAAACTATTTTGTGTTATAAAGTGATGTGATTTTTAAATAATTATTTGTTAAAGTTAATAAAGTTTGACAAAAAACTCAAAATATGAACTTAATTATGCGAGCGAAGGAGATTTATTTAATAAATCTTAGTTGGCTGAATGCGTGAATTTATACCATGGAACATGTTATTAAGTAATCTGATTATACAAATATATTGTTTCTTCTGAATTAATCACAGTCAAACCAAACCGGAGACCAGTTGAGCTTGACATGCATGCTGGACAACAAAAGCAATAATTATTATTTGTCAAGCGCCAACAACACTGCATCAGACATTCAAAAATTGTGCACACAACTTTGCAGCTGATATGTGGATGTGTATATATGTAATATGTGTATATGTTCATTCATGTGAATATACACCACCTTAATTGGTTGGATGCAAGGTTGTAAAGCCATGCCCCATCCTTAATTAATATAGCAATTGAAAAATATAAATGTACATATAACTAACAAGAAAGATAGATAAGACATTCAATGTGTATATATTTGATTTGTATGTAGCATGCATTGCATGGTGTGACTAGTAATTGATGTTAGCTTGGATGCATGAGATAGTAAAACTAAATTCAAAGATAGACATCATATATATTATATATAATAGACCGATTTTTAGAAATATCTGGATCCATTATAATGAATGAATAGTAATAAATCTTGTATCCCCTTTGATCTATTTCCTTAGGAGATTTTTGACATATAAAGATCTCTCAATTATATTGTGTTGATATTCAATATGGAATATGCATACATATATAGAGACAGAGAAGATGGTTGGGAAATCTAGTCATAAACAGACTTGAACACATATTTGACTTATCATTAAACCAATTAAAAGTTTATGAGTATATAAACTCTATAAATAATATATAACTCCAATTACAAGACTAATATAATAATATTAATTATTAACTAATATATGTGTTAGAACTTTTATTGTGGGTCAAGTTTGTCTGTAATGTCTTGTTTAAATAAAGTAGACTAGTTATACCATTTATGGTATTAGATTAGTATTTATTATGTAGCAAATAAGGTAAAGGGAATAAGGCCCAAAAAGGCCTTGGCCCAACTTCCAAGGTTTACCTAAATCGGTAACCTGTACAGCGCCTATAAATATGCGCCTTGTGTACAGGTACCGATATCGATCAATACACATTAGCCTTACGCTGCCAAATTTACTTCTCGATACTACAGAAAGAAGGTTTCACTGTTCTCGATAAATCTTATATCATTATATGAAATCCTTCTCTTCTGTCTATCGATGATGTTCATCTAGCTGATCGTTAGTCTGCTAAACTGGGACCAACAACTGGTATCAGAGCCTGCTCGAGTGTGATCGCCGAAGAAAAAGTTTTCGAAGTCCTCTGTTTTCTTCTTTTCGATATTGTACCCTTTTAATCGCTGTAATCTCATTTTTGAACGAAAAAGTGTAAAAGATGTACTGCTGAAATCGCCTCTCAAAACGAGCAAGCAGTATATCCTAGATTTTCGAACAGTTTAAGTTTCAGATTTGAGGTTCTCGATATTCTGATATCGAAAAGCAGGTTTCTCGAGGCTTCTACAAGTGTTTCAGTCTTCAAACTGCACAAAGAGATTCTCGAGATCAAGGACCTTATCGAAAAGCTGTTTTATTCTAGTTTAAAATTGATTTTTGATTTGCAGGATTTCGACACTGACTTCTCGACATAAGTTCTCGATTAGAGTTCTCGAACTTCTGTTCTCGATACTCAGTTTTCGATATTAAAATCTCGATATCTTGTTTTCGCATTTGCAGGTTCTCGATACGGCTTTTCGACATTCAGTTCTCGAACCTAAGTTTTCGAACTTAAAGTTCTCGATACTGACTTTTCGAAAGCTGTCTCTCGAACCTAGCTTCTCGATAGCAAGGTTTTCGATATCAAAATAACGAAAACTGCTTCTCGATAGAAGTTCTCGACCCCCCTTCTCGAACTTATTCCTGAAAATTAGGTTTTCGACATTCTACAGTTAAGAACTTAATTTTATCTGATCAAAACACTCGAACGATCTTTTTTCAAAATCAACAACTACAAAGATGGATGCTTTATCACTTGGTAATGACAGTAGGCCCCCAATTCTGAGGAGAGGTGAATACCAGATGTGGAGAACAAGATTCTTAAATTTTCTAGAAAGTAAAGATAACTCTTCCGCTATGCTGGAATCCCTCACCCAAGGACCTGCTGAGATTTGGGCAAGTGTGAATGGCGTTGATGCAAACAACCCACCTGTTAATCAAGAACGAAGATTGAAGACAAAGGCTGAGTACACTGAAGAGGATAGACAGAGAATCAAAGCTGATCTTATGGCAAAGACATTCCTACTACAAGCAATCCCAAATGACATCTACATTCTGATTGATAGCATGGAGACTGCTAAAGAAATGTGGGATGAAGTAAAAAAGCTGATGATTGGAACTGATCTTGGACTGAAGACGAAGAAAGCAAACATCTTAACTGCTTATGATGCGTTCAAGGCGGCACCAGGGGAGGCGCTCCATGAAACGTATAACAGATTTGTACAACTGATCAACGAGATGAGGAAGATCAAGGTTGTGAAATCAAACATGGAGATGAATATACGTTTCTTGTCGAGCCTGCCCCCTGAGTGGAAAAGAACTGTAAAGAACCTGAGACAACACTTGGACTTAGATGAACTAGATCTCTGCACACTTCATGAGCATCTTCAGCAGTTTGTGAATGACACTGCTGAGATGGAAGGAAGCTTTTCTGCTAATCCTTTAGCACTCATGATTGAAGCTAAACCAAAGAGTTCATCTAAGGTTCAGAAGAAGAAGAAGGCAGTTAAGGTGGAGACAGAAGAAGAAGACAGTGAAGAAGAAGTGGATGTTGAATCTGAATTGGCTGATCTACAGAAAAAAAATGGCTCTGCTCACCAATCAGTTCAACAAGAAATTCTCTAGGAAGGGAAACTCATCCAACAAGCTGCGAACCTCCTCTGCCAATTACAAAACAAAGAACAATGATCAGAACTCTTCCAGTAGAGCTGTTGCAGCAGAAGATCCCCCCAAATGCTTCAACTGTGGAAAGGCTGGACACGTTATCAAAGACTGTCGCCTACCAAGAAAAAGGGACTTCAACTATTACAAGCAGAAGATGCTGTGGAACAAACAGAAAATGTTCATGGCTAAACAAGATGATGATAGTGCTGCAACACTTACTGAGAATGACCCGTGGCAGGAGGAGAGTTCAGATGAAGAAGAAGAGGAGAATCTGGCCCTGATGGCGCTTGTAGAAGAAGAAGAAAAGGAAAAGGGTGATGCTGCGATCCCCGGAGGAAGTACAAGCTCAAGCTCAAACATCACTGTAAGTAACTCTGAAACCGTCTGTTCCTGCTCTTGTAAAGTTCACTCTTCACAAGTCAAAGACAATCTAATTATGGAGCTAAGAGACAAGGGAAACATCAACCATAAATATTTAATTGACAGTCTAGATAAAGTCAGATCTCTGAGCATACAGTTAGAAAATGAAAAAGAAATTGTCAAGAAGCGAACTTTAGAATTAGATCAACTCACCCAAAAGGTAGCTCTACTAACAAGGAAAGTTTCTGAGACTGAATTAGAACGAAACGTTGCAAAAGCCGAAAATGATTTTCTACATGAAAAAAGGTGCACTCTTTACACAAAAATCAAAGAATTAGAAGATCTACTTGCCAAGAGAGGACAAACAGAACAAACCATTTTTCTCAATCAGAACAAAGACACTCGCTTTTATAACTCTAAGGAGGGTCTCGGTCTTACTAACCCCAATAATCTGAAGAAAGTGGATTGTATTCAACTTTATGACATAAATTATATGGGGTTAGGGTTGACTAAGTTGATGGCTTTTACCTATGGAAAAGAAACGGCAGAAGAAGAAGAGGTAAAGCGATCAAACCCTTCCAGAACAGAAATACCTTTCAACTATGACTCTCTGAATAAAAGTTATGAAAATGCTGAACCTGTTTTCTCAACTGATGAGAGTGTGAGTCCTTATCCTTCTGAGAAGGAAGCTGTGTCGGATCCAGAAACCCCTTCAACGTCAGGGTCAAATGAAGAAGAACCTTACATCCCTCCACTAATTAGAAAACTCGAAAATTTACATATCTCTTTGGAAAAACAAAGAAAAAGTTTTGAAGAAGAAAGAAAAAGCTTTGAAAGTGAGAGGGAGAGGTTATTAAGAGAACTGACCTCTTTAAAGGAAAGCTCTCAATCTGACACAACTTCCCAGTCAGCTAGTGATACAACTGATTCTCAAGAAAATCTTCACAAAACTAATGTTTTCAAAAGATCGACCACTCACTCCACGACTCCCTTGAAAACAGGAAATACCGTGAGTAGGAGACTGGAAAGGAGAAGAGAATGGAGGTTGAAGAGAGAAGAGATAGCTGAAGGAAAGAAGAAAATGTTTTCTGAACATAAAAAACCCTGTTCTAGTGCTTTGTTTTACTCGAATAATAGTAGATCTAGATTTCAGTCACAACCATGTAGATCCAATTCAGTCTTGTGTCCCAAGCTGAATCCATCTGAATTTCCTTCTAATCAATTTTATTTCAATAATAAGTTGTATGCTCCTGGACTTGAAAATGATAGTGTTAATGTTTCTAATTTTGAATGTGCCATGAATTCTGTTCGTAAGGATCAACGGAGAGAACGCAAACAGAAGAAACAATCTGAGAATAGATCTGTAGAGGGAGTTTATAATTTTCCAAATTTAAAATACCCTCTTAAGGTTCATTCAAAGAAACACTTACACCGTCTCTCTAAAGAAGAAATTCTCAAACCTTACCTCACGAACCAGCCATTCACACACAAAGACAATAACTCTGTCTCCTCTGCTCCTAAAATCAAACAAAAATGGATACCAAAAGCTGAACTTGAAAAACAAAGAACATTATCTGAAAAGGCTGTTGACCTTGGATCACAGCTGAAAGAAAAATTCAAAAGGATTTTCTCAATTGATAAGGAAGGACCCATCCTGCGGTGGGTACCTAAAAATCCTTAATCTGTTTTGCAGAACGGTCATGTGTGGCATTTAGATTCTGGCTGCTCAACCCACATGACCGGAATAAAGGACCTGTTGAGCAACTACACCAAATGCTACGGAGGAAATGTGAGATTTGGAAACAACGCGGCCTCTCCAATCCTAGGATATGGGGATGTCATCTGTGCAAGTGTCACCATCAAGGCTGTGTCATATGTGAAAGGACTGAAGCATAATCTGCTAAGTATTGGACAGTTCTGCGATAGTGGCATGGAAGTAAAGTTCATAGCCAGACAATGCTGTGTGCTGGACAGGTTTGGAAAGGTATTATTGACCTGCACAAGAACTTCCAACCTGTACACCATTGATCTGAAGAGCGTACAATTACCTTCTGCCATCTGCCTGCTGTCCAAAGCTTCCTCTGAACAAAACAGTCTATGGCACAGACGCCTGTCTCACCTCAACTTCAAATATCTCACTACTTTGTCCTCCAAGAAACTTGTGAAAGGGCTGCCTCCTCTGAAGACTTCCGCTGACACTCATTGTGATGCCTGCAGACTAGGCAAGATGAA